ATAACTGTATTCTTTCAATGAGGCAACTTCAGCATGATTTTAGAGGTCAACATTCACAGCACATGAAAGCATTTAAAATCCAAGTAGGTGGTTAATCAGTGTACAAAAAGGTGAATTCTGCCACCATGCTTAAAAGTGGAGGAAGGTGCCCTACCTGGTTTGGCTCAGTGGATAGAGTGTTGGCCTATGGACGTCCTGGGTTCAATTCTGGTCAAAGGCACATGCCTGGGTTGTGGGCTTGATCCCCAGTAGGGGGCGTGCAGGAGGCAGCCGATCAATGATTCTCTCTCATCATCGATGTTTTTCTCTCTCTCTCTCCCTTCCTCTCTGAAATCAACAAAAATATGTTTTTTAAAAAAAGTGGAGGAAGGAGTTCAGAGCCTGAAATGCCACCCAGTTCAAGCTGGGGCTGATGTACCCACAACTCATGTAATTTGCCATCCAGGCCCACCGGCAAGAGACACAAACCCTTACAGTGTAATAGCCACAGCCATTCTGCTGGGGATGGTGCAGTGAATAAAACTATTAAAAAATAACTTGACCTTTTAAAGACCTTTGGAAAGAAATTTTGTTTATAATTTGTTGTTTCTTAGGCTGATAGAGAGGGTTCGAAATAGAGAGTAAGGAATTTCAGCGATGCATCAAACAGGTGGCATTAGGCAGGGTGATGATACAATTCTTAGTCTTTCAGTTCCCAGCAGCCATGTTTTCAAGTATAACTAGCCACTCAGCAGTGGTGACCTACAATGAGGTGCACATTCTTCACATTTATTCCCTTTCTTCTTTTTAAAAAGCCTCTCAAAACACCTGTGGTATACACACAGTGTCATTCAGCAAAAAGCAGGCCCGTTTCCAAGAACCTGAGACTAATGTGTGTGCATGCTGTGCGCATTTCAGACTCTCGGTCACCCAAGCGCCAAAGATGCACTGACTGGTAGGACAGGATTAACACAAGAGGGACAGGCAAGGATCGGCAAGCCCTCGCACCTGTGAGAGAACCCAGGCCAGAAGGCAGATCTGAGTTGTTTTACTGAATAACGAAAGCTCAACTCAACCACACAAAACAGAAACAACACTTTGAGAGCGGCTATTCAACAAATGTAAATGTAAGATTCATGACTTTTGTAATATATAATGCACAACAGCAAAAAGAGGGTCTAATTAACTTAGAATTGAAGGGAAAATGTGGACTTTTCCATTTATTTGGGGATGTTAGAACATGTGCTTTCAGATGTCAAGGGAAGAGACAGCATCTTAACAAATCAATAATAAATGCAGTCTTAATTAAAGGTACTTTAAATTAATTAACTTTTGTTCTATATATCCCTCTTATGCTCTGTTGCCTTCTATTTTAACTGATACCAAGAGAAGAACAAAGTACAACACAAACCTAGTTAACAAAAATATATATCTATCTTCGTAGCTTCTGGGCACAGAAGTAAATTTATGACAGTTTTAATGCTAGCTTGAGAGTAACTAAATCCAATTATAATTATCTTGCTGGGAAGAGAAATTAATTAAACATCCAGAGATAAAGACCCCCCAGCAAAAGTAGCATAAACACACAATTGGAGAAGGACAGGGCCTTGAAATAAAGAGGAGGAGAAGGGAAAGGCAATATTTAGTCCATCTGTTCGGACAGTAATGGGACAAGGTAATCTTTTCAAGAGAACATGGAGTGCATTACCCTGGAAATGAGACTACCTGGCGGGCAGAGTCAGCCAATTCCCTAATTCTCCTTCAACTTTGTGATTTGCTAATGTGAAACACATGTCTCTCCTTTGCACTAAGTTCAAATGACTCTGGAATTCCAACTGTGCAGCTCAGCGACTGAACCAGAACAAGGGGAGAACTTGTCAGGATTTAAGAGCTTTCAGCAAAGCCCTTCAATTGCAGCCAGCACCCTATTCCACAGAAGGATATCAATTATAGATAGTGACTTGCTTTAGCAGGCAGTCGGGACTGTCAGACACTAGATAGACAACCATGAAGAATCATGAATCTTTCTATTAACTGTAAGAGGGGGAAAAAGAATGGGTCATGGCTATAAATATGGCACAGCATCAGAATGGTTTAACACCTTGCCTCTTGGTTGTATGTACCATGAAAATTCAACTAATTCAGAGAATGTCCTCTCTCCAAGGGAAACCGTAAGAACGGAAGCAGTTAATGTTTCCTTTTATCCCTAAAAAAAGTGGCTCTTGCAAGTGATATTATTTCCATCTACCATCAAAGTGCCATAATTAGGTAGACTTGAAGTACCTACTCATTCAATCAACAAAAAATAAAGCACCTATTCTATACACCAGGCTACTGCAAATGCTACCAGATACACCCAGTAGTATGAAAGTGCTTTTACGTCATGCAAAGTAAAATCAGTTTAAAGGCACATATTTGGAATTTCCATACTTCAGATAACAAGTAAAAAGGTAGCAAGTAAGTGATATAAACTAGTATCTTTATTTATGCTGTTGTAAGTTATCATTTTTAATTCACTTAACAAGTTTATTTAATCATATAATTTATCAGACTAAAATTAATGTCAAACAGATAATATATTAGCTTTCCTTCTAATTCTGACATAAATTTCTTCGAGGTATTTGGAATTTTTTTTAAAAAAAAAATTACTGAATTCATTCGTATGTTTATAACAAAACAGAAAACATGGCGGTCATTTAATTGATAGTTTAAGCAGCCTTTCCTTAAAGCTACTCAGATCTCTCTGTTAGAAACAATATCACTGCCTAAAACCTTCAGCCACTGAGATGAAATACAAAAACCTGCAATATTCACTGGTTTGAAACAGCCTTCATGTTCAGTAGGCAGCACAAAGTTTAAGTTATTACCTCATGCCTGGCCTCTAGTCAGTACAAATCCCCTTTATTTCATTTTATTAATTTATTTTTATTGATTTCAGAGATGAAGGGGGAAGAGAGATAGAAACATCAATGATGAGAGAGAATCATTGATCAGGTGCCTCCTGCACACCCCACACTGGGGACTGAGCCTGCAACTTGGGCATGTGCCCTGACGGAGAATCGAACCATCACCTCCTGGTTCATAGGTCGACCCTCAACCATTGAGCTCCGCCAGCTGGGCCACCACAATTCCCTTTAAATGTACGCCCCCTAATGAAATGTAGGCTCTTATTTCATTCCGCACTTGATAATGGCTGACCCACAGTCAGAGCCCCCCTTGGGAACTACAGTGACTTATCCACAGACAAGGAGCCAGGAGACGGTGGCGTCGCCCCTCACAAGGACATTTTAACAAGCACTGCCAACATCTAGTCTCTGATGGCAGTTGTTACCCGAACAATTCCCTCATTTACGTCGGGCACTCATTATATCGCTCAGAGTATTTTTGGCACACTCTCATTTTTGGGAATATTTCTCCACATTAAAATAAAAATTCAAAACCTCTTTTCCCCCTTTAGTATGACAATGTCTGTGGTTTCCATTAAAAACAGTCAGCAAGAATAAAGGGCCATTAAATCAGGCTTGGCTGAAAAATAACACTTGCATCAAATTAAAGAGAAAAAAATAAATGAAGTTCATGGAAAAATTTAGAAATATACCTTAATTAAAACCATCTGATTTTCTGGTTTCTTGCTGTGCTGAGAAATCTATAATTCTCCCTATACCATTACAAGGAGACAGGGTTGAAAAAGAAACAGAGGGGAGAACAACCCTGCTGAGGTCCTGTTAAATCCTAAAAACAATCTGCACATAACCGATCGCAAAACCAGCAAATCATACATTCAACACGATGATGAAACTGCAATGTGTGAAACATATTCCTCAGGATGAGCCATGGTGCAGAAGAGACACTTCAAAGGCTCATGCCGCCTATAAGACATGTGGGATGTGTGAGGAATTTTATCATTTCAGCGGTTAAATAGAGGAGAGTTATCAAGAACTATGGGTTATTGAAAAATAAAAAGTTACTGGGAAAGAAAAGAGGATGAGTGTGCATATGGAGGTTAGGGAGTCGAAATAAAAGCTGTTCCGTCAGATTTTCCATCAGATTAAACGCTTCTGAAACTGCCACACTGAGCAAACCATCCTCAGTGCCTCCACGGGACCCAGTCTTTCTGCACGGAGTGTGTGAGCTACCTCTTTTTTTTCTTCTTCTTGATTTTCTAAATGCCCTTCCATCTCAGTTGCTCCTGCTCACATTTGCCAGGGAGACTCCACAGGCCTGAGAGAAAGTGCCAAATAAAATGAAACACTGGCAAAGGACATGTGGTTCATCAGGTATGAGCACTGGGTGGGGAGCGCTGCAGTATTTGAAACAATACACGGGAATAAATACGGGAGAAAGATTTCAGAACATGGGATGGCAAGAGAAGGTTCTCAACCTGACCATACTATAGCTTTCAAAAACAGACATCATTAAACACAATACACATCATTGCACAATACACATCTCTTTTTCCATGAAACTATTAGGCTTACAAGGGTTGGCCTCAAGTCAAGAAATTGCTAATGGCTTGCCGCAAGCATCCACCTATCTCACATACAGTACTAATTGCTGCATAAAACAATGGGAGATTCCTGAAGTGCTGAGGGCTTGGGAAAGGAAAGTAGAATGGAAAAAAAAAAAAAAAAAGGAATCCTCCACTTCTATAATTTTTTCTGTTGTTACTCTTGGAAAGGAGACTCAAACTTGGTTAAAGGTTAATCATAATTCATGTCCAGCTTACTATTACTCAATAATCATCCAAGTCACTAACTCAAAATAGTGTTCTCTGACTTACAGGATCAGAGTCATTACACTCTCTATCGAAGACTTTATTGAATTTTACACTAAGCTTTAGCTGACTGCACAGGTCAGGCACCAGGGCTCCGAGTTCTCTTTATTCTCAGAAAGTCATAAAGGGCTCTCCAGTTCGGAGCACTGTTAGCTAAGAAACTCGACGCAGTGCAGGGTCAGGGAAGCTGATCCCGCAGAAAGGGCACGTAGTTGGAAAGCCCAGTTGGCGAGTCGCTCTCACTTACGTGCACCAGCTGCTCCTGGGTGTCAAACTCCCGGGTGCAGCCTTCCCAGTGGCAGTTGGTCTCATAGATGACTTCAGGCTCCTGCTTGCTTTCATCTTTGTCCCCTTCCTCCTTCACCAGGGTGGTTACTTCCGGCTGTTCCTGATAGGTGAGGGGAAGGAAGAGAAAAAAATCAGACAATGAAAGAAGAAAAAGACAAAAATTTAATTTAGATGTTTTCCCCCTTATGCAAATTTTTCAATGAAAATAAAACAGTTCAGGTCTGTTAACTAAGTTTTGTGAATAGAAGAAGTCAAACATATGGAATCATTTGTGTGTATTTTTTCAGAGTTACTAAATACACCTTCCGAGATTATTCACTTGTGATTAAGGACAACAGTCCAAACCATAATGATGATAAGAAGTTGAGGCAAACTCCGCTATCCTTGAATACGACGGTGAAAACAACAACTAAAAATGTCATCTCATAAGAGAAGCAATTAAACTAGATGATGTCATCTTTACCCAAAAGATGGGTCTTTCTCTTTTGATTAAATTCTTTTCAGTATATTAAAGTTTATTCTCATATTTTGGAATCCAGGGAAATAATTACAAGTAATTCTAATTTGCTTTCCTTGCCCTTGGAGGCTGCTCTTAAGAGGCACTTTGTGGATTTTATAGGAATAATGTCTTCTTGGTTCAACTTCTGATGTCTAATGTTGCACTCTCTGCCCCAGAACCACGCCATCTAAAGCTTTGGACTTGGGGCGGGGGGAGGGGAGTGGGTATAGTCTTTCCTAGTCTTCTAAGCAGCTTTGTAGCAATTTAAATACAAAGAATTTCTATAATTCTGGAAGACAATTAGGTGTGTAGATTCAAGTTCTAATCTGGGGCTAGATGAGAAAAACTATACAAGCATTGAGGTGTGACCAGAAAGGATGTCGACTAGCAAAATGCAAAAGGATGACTTTCAGAACCCACCACACCCAATCATTCCATAAGAGCTTGTCACTGAAACAAAAATTTGGGCTAAAGTGGTCTGAGGTTGGGGCTGAAGCAGCCCGGCCATAGCAAGATCCAGATCCTGTGGATGTCTAGATTCTTGTCCAACACTTATTTCTGGGAATTGATATTCCTTGACCTCTTTCCTGTGTCAGGGGAGAGGACCCTAGGAGGTGAGAAACACATCTTTAAACTGAGGCTCAGAGGACCTCATCCTTTGAGTAAAGGACTGGAATCTAAGTTGCCTTAGAATAGAGGTGAGTTGTGCCTGATCCCTCCCTGTTCCCCAGGCTCTCTTGCCAAATGGGAAGTGGCAAAATAAGAATAAAAATGTGACTGGTATAGAGAACATCACTAGCTCTTCCCAGCTCAGGCTTGGGACCAGGAGCTCACAATTCAGGCCCAAGGTCAGGATTAGGGACTGAAGCCCGGTCACATCGATGGTCAGCAACACATAAACCCAACCACGTACTCAGTGAACCATAGTTCAAACCTCACACAGCTTCCTGCACTTGTTGTGTTTGCTTCTGAGCTGGAAAAAGAAACTGAGTCCAACTCTGCAACTGGCCTTCTGCCACGTGCAGAGCCCAGGCGCCTCACCTGCTGCCCCCGCGGCCCCGGGCTGGGGAGGTCCTCATCAGGTTTGATCTTGGATCGCTTGTTGTGCATCAGGTCGCCAGTGCTGCTCACCGCAGACTCGCTCGTGGGCTTGTTCTGCCGGTCACAGTTGCAGGAACAGAGACAAAGGTTAGGTTGTAACCAAGAGCAGGACTATTGCTAAAACCTGCAACTGGAGAGAAGCAGGCTTGCTTGGCACTGGAACAATGACTCATGATAATGTTCCAACACCGCGGTAGCAGAAAACACATTCATGAGGCAGTTCCTAGTTTTACCTCACGAGCATAAACGCCCTAGAGTTTAAACGCTAGAAGAATAGCCCTGGCTGGTTTGGCTCTGTAGATAGAGCGTCGACCTGAGGTTTGATCCCAGTCAAGGGCACATGCCCTGGTTGCGGGCTCAATCCCCGGTGTGGGGCATGCAGGAGGCATCCAGTCGATGATTCTCTCTCTTCACTGATGTTTCTCTCTCTCTCTCCCCCTCTTCCTTCATCTCTGAAATCAATAAAAATATATTTTATCCCTAACCGGTTTGGCTCAGTGGATAAAGCGCCGGCCTGCAGACTGAAAGGCCCCAGGTTCAATTCCGGTCAAGGGCATGTACCTTGGTTGCAGGCACATCCCCAGTAGGAGGTGTATAGGGGGCAGCTGATCAATGTTTCTAACTCTCTATCCTTCTTCCTTCCTCTCTGAAAAAAATCAATAAAATATAAAAAAATTATTATATATATATATTTTAAAAAAATAAATTGATAAAAAGAAAGTAATATTAAAAAATAATAAAAATAAAAGCTAGAAGAATAGAACTGGGGCCTGGACTTTAACAAGTTCCAAAAGAACAAAGCTGTGAGGAGGGTAGGAAACCAACATGAACTGTTTGCAACGTTCTTTAATTAGAGCATCAGATTCTTCCCTCAGCACGATCCGTGTGGAGAAAAGAACAATTGTATTCGTACTCTGGAGTATCACACAATTCGAAGCGCCAGTGGACAGTGACCAAATGAGAGCCACACATTCCTGAATGCATTTCTATTGCGGGTGGGGGGTAGAGAAAGCACTGGCTCAGAGTGCAGCCTCATCAAGTAGCCACATTTCCCCCGAGGGTCAATGGACTCTGGTGGAAGAAGCTGCTGTTTCTTGAGGAGCACACACACAGCATCTTCCCCAAGACGGAAGACCAGAGCCCTGAGATGGCAGGACAGGCTGCATGTAGTATGGAAGTGCTGAGAATGCCAGGGCACCGTGCCCAAGAAGAGCTGGCACAGTGGCACAGCTCTCCTCTACGATTACCAAGACCGACCAGCTCATCGAGCTGTCTCTCTCTCACCTGTGAGGACTCCGAAGGGCCAGAGCTGACCTGGACAGGGTTCAGAACCGTCGGGATCCCGGGAATAGGCCTCTGTGTTGGAAATGTTGGGGCAGGATGGATAAGCGGAGGGCTGTGTCCAAAGGCTGAGCCTAAGCTCTGCTGTCGGCTTAAGATTTGTTGATGCACGTGGAGAGACACAGGCGCAGAAGGGTAGGTGAAGCTCAAGGCAGGGCTGATGGGAGAAATAAAGGGCAAGAGACCATCACTACACGGACCATGGGGACTAGTGCAGCAGCCCATGTTTGCACCTTGACAGCTGGTTTTACCATCCCAGATCATATCGGGTCCGTCTGTTTAAACTAGAAGGTAAAAAACAATGGCTGACAAACATCTTGAGAACTTCCAAGAGAAAGATGACAAGACGCGCATGTGTGCACACACACAGGACAGACCTGAAATAAGATTCAGGAAAACGAAACAAAAGGCATTGGCTCAATAACAGCTATTTATTGCAATAACAAACTTTATATAAAAAAGAGAATGGGTGACTACAAGCTTTATAGTACTTTTATTGGCTCTCAATCCCATATGTTCCTGTGCATGGAGCAATTCCTTTAATCTTGGCTCACACTGTGCACTTTCATATGTCTCCAGATCTTATTACAAGAGGAAAGAAAATCAATTGGTTAAATGTGTTTTGAACACCATGCTTGTCATATCACTCATTTGTTTGTAAAGATGGAAAGCTTGGTTCATCCAGAATGCCACCTAAAGAATTTCCATCAGTGCCGTCTGGTTACAGAAACTGATGGATTAACCTCTCCTGGGCGCAATCGGTGATCAATGGGCTTTGATGGAGGAATATTCCAATGGGAGAGAACAGCTCCCTCTCCCAGTTAAACAGCATTAAATGTCTATTAAAGCCCATTATACATGCTAATGCCTGTCACTGCTTCATTATGCCACAGGATTTCCCAGGCTAGGGTAGGTTCGGAAACCGCAGTATTTCCTAAAGACTAGTAGGCAGTGCCAAATTATCTTCCATGCCAGCGTAGTTTAGGAATCAAATCCTCTTAAAAGAATGAAGTGCCCTTGAGGAATTTTCCAATGGCTTAAAAGTGCATGAAAAATTATAAGTGCATTCATGAAAATGTCTTTCTTAAAAAATAATCAGTGAAAAAAAATATATCTCTCTATATTTCCCCATCCTGCTGTGTAATACACAGAAAGAATCAGGATTTCTTGTAATGTCAGAGGTAGAATTCATGCAAATTTACAATCTGGTGGGTTAATTACTATTGCTGTTAAGCACATTAACTGAGAATATAATAATTACAATAACAAAATTCAAACCATTTCAACAACTTTCAGCAATAATTCCGAAGATATACTCTGTTCATTAATGTGACTGCACATTTTGCCTATTTGATTACAATCTATAAAAGGCGACTTCAGGGGGATTACATTACTATTATTCCTTCAGAGAACCTCACATTACAATAGCTTGCCCATTTAAGACTGAATATCATTAAGAATACCCTAGGAGAATTTCACCAGGCTGGGAGGAATTCTCCTTTCATTCCGTATTGTATTTCTGTAATAAAGGAAAGCAGAAACATGGTGAAAACAGTCATTGTTCACAGTAAGTTAGGGAGGAATCAGTAATAATATTCCGTTTCTGCAGCACTATAGTTTCTGCCAGTGTTTCCGAAAGCAACCATGAATGATTACAGCAAGACTTAGCGAAGGTAGCTGTGCGGATGATTGATAGGGCGTTAATCAAAAGATGCATATCTGCCTCAGAATTTGTTCACAAGCTTTCTTCTAATAGCTGATTTCATGTTCACTGAGCTCTATGCCAGTTTGTCCAATTTATTTTTCAGTGTACAAGCCATTCATCAAAAAACACAATGATTTAACACACACCCTTTCCTTTTGGTGAATGGGTATTACTAAGTGTAACTACCTTACTCTATTCATTAAAAAAACAAAAAACAAAAGACCCCTCCACACATACATTTCCAATTCGACACAGACTTTGTAGGAACCTCCATACACCTGTCCAGAGTTTCCTGCGCCCATGCGATCGGGTGGGCTTGGGATGGGCTCCTATGGCCACTTACACTCTATTTCTAGACGGCAGACTATTGGGGGGTTCAAGACATCAGGACCTAATTAAGAATCACGACCATTAGAGAACACATTTCACAAGGCAGAAACTGTACTCAGTTTCATATATAACCAATTTTAAAATGTGAGTAGCTGAACAGGGTGAGTAGTTTTACTTTCTAAAGATGCAGGAGAGGAGACGAAAGCCAGCCCCAGCACCCAGCTGCACCCTCTCAGACTCCCGAAGACACAGGAAGGGGGTGCAAAAGCTTACAACACATTTGGGCAACATTCCCTTTCTGGGCTGCTCTTTTGCTGGCAAAGCCAGGCGAGAGGAATAAACATTCTCCAAAACCCGGGTCAACTGTTAAGATTCCAAGAGACAGAGCGTACAGAAGGAACGGTGATTTTCAGCTCTCGCCGCTCATTCCTAAGAAGCCAGCAACAGAAAACTTCTCCATGAGACACACACAGAGGCCTGGGCTGAGCCCAGGAGGGCCTGTGCTGGCTCCTCACGGTGCTGCAGGTTACAAAGACTATGTAGAAAGTGACCATCGAAGAGGATTTGTTGACTCTGTCACAGCTTCAGGGCATGGTTTTGAAAGCCAAGGCTCCTCTTGCTCTCAGAGCAGACTGTGGAGTTTTGTTAGGAAGCAGCAGAGGATGGGCAGTGACTGGGCAAGTAGGCCTCCCGTCCCATGTGTATGCAAAGAACCTCGAGGACTTCCTGCTAGTGGGGGAGCAGGGGGTCTGAGCCACCACCTCCTGCTCTGTGATCCTAAATGGTGGTGAGCTGTCATCCTAAGAAGCTCCGCCCCCTGAGTCTCTGCACACAGTACTTGCTGTGTCTGTCCTTCCAGAAGTCAGCATGGCTGCTTCCTTTTGATCACTCTGGTCTTAGCTTAAATGTCACCTCCTCAGAGAGGCCCCCCTCCCACGCACACATCAAAATGAGCCCCTCTGCAGCACGTGGCCCAATCATTTTCTATTGTTTTGACACTTTTATTCTCACAGCAGCACAAGGTACTCTCTGAATGTAAGGTTAGGTGAGCTGAGGGAGGGAGGGGGGAGGGTCCGAAGGGGAGGGGGCCTGGTATGTCTTGCTCCCTGCTGACCCCTGGTGCCTGGAATACTGCCTGGCACATAGCGGGCACTCAACTTTGAGAGGAGGGACTAAACTGCTTCCACAATGTATTAATATCCAATTGCTGCTAAAACAAATTACCGCAAACTTAGTGGCTTAAAATGACAGATGCTTATTATCTCACAGCTCTGGGGTCAGAGTCTCAAACAGGTCGGCAAGGCTGCATTCCTCTGGAGTCTCCAGGCACCTTGCCTCTTCCAGCTTCCACAGGCTATTGGCAACCTAGGCTCGTAGGTCCCATCACTTGGACCTTCTCTCACTCTGACCTTCACCTTCCGTCTCCCTATTATAAAGAACCTTATAGTTTCATTAGGGCAACCTGAATACTCCAGGAAAACCTTCTTATCTCAAAATCCTTAATCGCAGGCACAAAATTCGTTCTGCCACCAAAGGTAACGTTTATGGGCTCTAGTGATTAAGACATGCACATCTTGCCCAGCCAGCGTGGCTCCGTGGTTGAGCATCGACCTATGAACCAGGAGGTCATGGTTCAATTCCCAGTCAGGGCACATGCCAGGATTGCGGGCTCGATCCCCAGTGTGGGGCATGCAAGAAGCAGCCAATCAGTGATTCTCTCTCATCACTGATGTTTCTCTCTCTCCTTTTCCCTTCCTCTCTGAAAGCAATACAAATATGTAGTTTTAAAAAAGACATGCACACCTTTGGAAGCCATTATTGTGTCGACCACACTCAGAATTGTGTTTCCAAGAAAAACATGTTTTCCTCTGAAAACTACAATTTGACAGCATGTCTGTAAGACAGTATTCCTTCCATAAACAAAGCTCGTGTCTAGATTCACTTCTCTCTACAGAACTTCAGCAGGTGACAACAGATTTTGTTGATTACAGACGTCAGAATTTTTTAAAAAGTAAACTGTACCTGTAGAAGCCCTAAAAAAAAGTCCTCCTAAATGGTTCATGCATTTACTCCATAACTTCCTAGATTTATAAAGTATTGATACTGTTGAAATTTGTCTAAATCTCTGTCTCCTTTAAAGAAGGACCGAGTCGAGTCTACAGCGTGGCCTATCAGAGCTTTATGACCCCAAGCTTTCGCACTTCTGCTCGCCCTATTCTCCCTTATGGGTCACTTACATACCAATTAACTTTACATTCTGGCCTCTAAATTCTCTTCACTCAACATTCTATAACGTGTACTTCAGAAAACTATTTTTATAGCTTCCACTTCTTTTCTACGTGACTACATGAAAGATGGGATAATTTAAAAAACACAAACTTTTGTAAGAATGTGGCTGAAGACTGTTAATCTATGTCTAGTCGGTAAAATCTCTAGGAAGAACGTGTCAGGTGGCCTAGACCTTCCTAACAATGCACTAACATGGTCACAGGCGTCCTGAGATAACCCAAGAGCAAGTGCTGCGGAGAAAAAGAAAAAGAAGTGGCAAGTTCCGGAAGGTCTGAGGAACTAGGGTTCAACAGTCCTGAGTGTGGAGTGTTAATGTGCACACGTGCCCCTCATGTCCCACCCAGATACGGTGAGCAGCCGGTGAGCAGCCATAATTGGAGGAGCTTCTAGAGCAGTGATGGCGAACCTATGACATGTGTGTCAGGGGTGACACGCGAACTCATTTTTTTGGTTGATTTTTCGTTGTTAAATGGCATTTAAATATATAAAATAAATATCAAAAATATAAGTCTTTGTTTTACTATGGTTGCACATATCAAAAAATTTCTTTATGTGACACGGCACCAGAGTTAAGTTAGGGTTTTTCAAAATTCTGACATGCCGAGTTCAAAAGGTTCACCATCACTGTTCTAGAGACTAGTGTTCCTTGTAAAACATTTTCAAAAACACTCTTCAGAGACAGCATTTATAAAGCCAGTATAAACGAACCCAAATGTGAATTTGCCCTTTATTTTTTTAGAGAAGGAAAACGAGTGGATTTTAGGTCCCTGACTATAATGTGTGTGGCAGCCTCATCACCAAATATAATGTGTATCCCTCAGAACAGAGGTATG